AAAAACGGCCCATTATTGGTTCAGTAATGTCTGCCGAGAATTGGCAGTAGTTACTGGGCCATTACTGGTGTTCAAAACGTCCCATTGATGGGCCAATGATGGCACCGATGGTCAGATTTTCAAATTTTTCAAGATTGGGCCAGCTCTCGGCCCAATAATGGCACATTCACGGCAAAGTTGATCAATCTTTAATGGCAAAATTCAATTGCCAGTGATGTGACGATGATCGGCCCATTAATGGCACTTAATGGCAAACATTTTGTGTCTTTAATGGCAAATTATAATTGACAGAATTGGGGCGTAGCTTGGCCCAATAACGGCACATTATTGGCAAAGTTGCTCAATCTTTAATGGCAAAAGACAATTGCCAATGATGTGACGAAAATCGGTCCATTAAAGGCACATTAGTGGCACTTTAATGGCAAACATTTTGTATCTTTCATGACAAATTATAATTGACAGTATTGGGGCGTAGCTTGGCTCAATAATGGCACATTCACGGCAAAGTTGATCAATCTTTAATGGCAATATTCAATTGCCAGTGATGTGACGAAGATCGGCCCAATAATGGCACATAAGTGGCACTTTAATGGCAACAATTTTGTGTCTTTGATGGCAAATTATAATTGCCAGAATTGGGGCGTAGCTTTGCTCAATAACGGCACATTATTGTCTAACATTTAGTATCTATGACGGCAAATTATAATTGCCAATATTGGGACGTAGCTCGGCCCAATAATGGCACAGTATCGGCCAGTGTAGTGTAGCTTATAAGAACCCTTTTGCTTCCTCGACTTCAAGTCAGAGTAGCAGAGTGGTCAGAGTGTTAGGCTGTGGTGCGTCAGGTTCAGGTATCGATCCCCGCGAGCGGTAAGAATTTTTCAAATATTTGTAAGTTTGCGTTTAATTTAGGGAAATAAGCTGTATAAATATTATAAATTAATTAGTTAATTAAGTAAAAAATATATTTTTTTTAATTTTGTCAACACTGGGGAGTAATGGCAGCCAATAATGGACCATTAATGTTTACCGAGAATCGGCCGATGATTGGCTGCCGACGGCCTACCGCGGTTAACCTCCCGACAGTCGGGCCACTATTGTCTGCCAAGAGTAGGCACTGACTATGCCGTCACTGGGCCAGTTTTGGGCCGTTTTTAATTTCGCACTTGGGATATTGTTGGTTCTAGTTTTCGATATAATCGCAATTTAGTCATTTTGGAGCAAAATCTTTATTTTTTAAAAATTTTTTATTATATATCTGCATGTTTTAAAAAGTCGAATCATGCGGTTTTTATTAATTTATCGATAATTTAACTGTTTGATTTCATTGGTTCTTTAGAAAAATGAAAAGGGCCCATTTTGTCGGTCATTTGCAAAAGTAATCCGTATTTTAAAAATGGTGGTGTCGAAAAATTTAAAACCTCTTAATTTTTCATCTTTAGGGTGTCCTGCACTGTAAACAATTCTTATCTGAATAACTTCTTACAAGAACCAGAGATATTTATGTTAGAGTCTTTTTTTTCGTAATTGTCGAAATGAAAATTTGGATATTGCGTCAATTTTTTTTATAATAGAGACGGTCAAAAAATTTTAAATAAGTTTAATATCTATTCTTTTTCTTCAAATGACAGAATAAAATTGTATTCAATCGTTAATCTTGTAAAAAAATGGTTTTTTAATAGAAAAACTGTCCTTTTTAGAAAAGGGCTCATATTGTCGGTTTTTCGTATTTTCGAAATTAAGGGAAGGGGGTGGTTCTAAAAATTTAAAACCTGTTGGTTTTTTATCTTCAAGGTGCCCTGAACTGGAAACAATTCTCATCTGAATAACTTCCAAGAAGAATCTTTAATTACGTTTTTCTCGAAATGAGGTTTTTGCAGTTCTAAACTTTAAAATTCCGTAACTCAGCGAATTTTCAACCAAAAAATTTTGCCAGGAATACGCCCATATAGATAACTCCAATAGTGCCAAAATGGGCCCTTTTCATGTGGACGTCCACAAATAATGATATTTCATTTTTAGATGATCATGATGCGTTTTTTTTTTTATTTTTATTTTATTGTTTAAATTTAAAAAAAAATTTTTTAATTTTAATTATTTAATTTATAATCATTTTATTTCATTAAATATTGTATTTTTTTGTGAAAATGTTATCCTAGAAATAGAAAAAAATAATATTTTTATTCAAATATTATAATGAATAATAATTTAATTTCATTAAATATTGTATTTTCTTTGGGAAAATGTTTTCCTATAAATAGTAAGATATTAACATTTTTATTGAAATATAATGACCAGAGAACGTTTTTAAATAGATTGATCTAGAAAAGTCAAAATTTAAATAATCCTACCCCTCAAAGAAAAAAAAATGTTTTCAAGAAAAAAATGGAGCATCGAGGGAAATTGAAAATTATTATTGTAGATAACAAACATTTTTAATTTTAACGATATCTATTATTGCTGTACATAAATTTATAAGTATATATAAATTATAATAAAGAAAAAATTAAATGAAAACGAGAGAAACTTTGATTGCTAATTGGAGAAAATTGTGATATAAATAACTTGTGTGTCTATACTAACCGGGAAAACTGGGAAATATAGCCGTGAATTTAATTTGACCGGGAATAAGCCAGAAATTTTATTATTATTATTATTTTTTTTTTTTAATCCAAACCGGAAACGTTTTAACCAAATTAAAAAAAGTTTTACTATTTTAATTTGTTTAGAAAAAATCGCTTTTTATTTGAATTTTTATAGATTACTGTTCTCTTAATTTCAAATATAGTATGTAAGTAAATTGAAAAAAAAATTATCAAATTAATAGAAATTTTCTGAAATTTAAATGAAAATAAATAAATTTGATAAAGAATATTATTAAAATCTTTTTAACAAATAGAATTTTCAAAGTATTTTAATTTAGTAATTGATAAATAATTGAAATTTATAGAGTCACATTCGAATGTATTCATGTTTCTTAGTGCGAAGATTATAATAATTTCAACTTTTATTAGTGCATTTAAAAAAAGATACCTATACTCTTAAAATTTGTTAATAAAATTGGATGTTCGCAAAGTTTTTTTGAAAATTCTGAAAAATGAAATTTTTTAATTCTATAATTTCAGGATAATTGAATTTTTATAAACAAATAATTAAAAAATGTTTAAATAATTGAAATTTTTTTACATTCTTTTAAAAATAATCAAATTCTTTCAATAAAATTCTTTGAAAATAATCAAGGTAAAGAAGTCAACGTAATTATAATTTTGTTCTTAAAAATTTCTTCGCAATATATTCAAATTATATATTTTCATTTTAAATAGTAAAACTCATTGGAGAATTTCAATTATTTTCAATACAATTTTAATCGAATTCTTTGAAAAATGTAATTATTCTTTCAAATTTTATTAAAATTGGTTGAAAAAATTCAATTATTTATAAAAACTGTAAAAAGAGTCTTCTCAAGAATTCATTTATTTTCATAAAATATAAAATTTTTTAGATTTACTAAATTCTTAAAATCTATGCGACTGATCAACAATTTGAACAACAATTCGAAGAAAAACAAGAAGATTACATTGGATATTTATTTATTTATTTATTTATAAATTAATAAATTTATATGTAATATACAATTTTTAATATTAAAAATAACAAATCAACCGGCTACAAATATATTTGAATTGAATTAAATAAATATTGAAATTAATTTTTTTTATCTAGATTACATTGGATGTTTATTTATTTATTTATAAATTAACAAATTTATATGTTATATACAATTTTTAATATTAAAAATAACAAATCAACCGGCTACAAATATATTTGAATTGAATTAAATAAATATTGAAATTAATTTTTTTTATCTTCTTTTCGAAAATATCCGACAGTAATCTGAAAAAGAAGAAAATATCTTTATATAATAAAAAATTATATTTATTAAAAAAGAATTAATTAAAATAAAATAATTTTTAAACTAACAGTTTTTGATTTTTTCGATTCATCTGTCGACTTTATTTTTTTCATGTCAATTTTAATTTTTTTGACTTCATGGATTTTTTCACTATCTATTTTGTGAATTTTTCTTTTCTTTGAAGGTGGTGGTCCTTGAAGAATATTGAAATTCATTGAAGATTGTTGTGAGTTTTTGACTTCATGGATTTTTTCACTATCTATTTTGTGAATTTTTCTTTTCTTTGAAGGTGGTGGTCCTTGAAGAATATTGAAATTCATTGAAGATTGTTGTGAGCACTGTTTAATTTTTAAATCCGTTTTAAAATCCGTTTGAGTCGCTTTGTCCGCCAACGGAGGGAACTTTAATAAATACTTAATATTTGCACTAAGTAATTGTTTCTCCATTTGTTTAACTTTTTTTTTATATTCTATGTCTTTTAATTCCATTTTTTTTTCATAGGAATTTGCCAATAAAATTAACTCTTTATGAAAATGCTCCTGTCTCTCTTTGGCCACAGAAACAGGAATTGTTTCCTCAGTTATTTCATTAAGTTGTTCGACACAACTCTGCTGCAATTCTCCTGCTGGAAACAAATCACTTTGAAAAGGTGCCACATTTTGTAAATCTTCATTTTCCATATCGATGATTGATTTTTGAAAAATTGATTTTGTCAGCATGTCATACTCCTTTTCCTTCCTTGCATTCATTCTTTGCCTTTTGTTTAATTTCTTTGTCATCTACATAATAAAAAAAGAAAAAACAATTTAACAATGACATAAAATTTACAAGCAACAATTTAATACTAATCTATGAAATGTCGATTCCAAGAAGGCAATACATTTGTTACACAATAAACATAAAGAATTTATACATACCTTTTCAATAAAGAGCAAAACAAAAGAGAAAAGAAAGAGATTAATTGTACGTGGTTGTTTGTAAAATAATTTTCACTGAATGAAAGATTAGAACATTTTGGCGCTTTTTTGAGTTGCGCAAGCGTAGTTATAAAAAATGTCAGCGGCCATTAAGATTACTACAATGTAAAGGACAAACTCGGTCGGTAATGAAGAACCTATTACATTCAAAAATATTGTTGTCGTTTGTGGTTTTGTGCCAGCAAATTATTATTCACGTTGAAATTGAATTTAATGGTAATTAAACTTGGTTTATATATAAACAATCAAGTAAAACTTAGTCCACAAAATACAAAATTTTACGATTTAAATTTTTCATTTTTTGTATTCACTTAAAGAGAGTAATAAAATTATATTATAACCTCAAAAAAATTATCAAAATTATTTTAACAACAAATAAAAAATTGAAGTAAAATTAAATGTTAGCAAACTATTGTATAATTTAATTACAAAATATTAAGAAAATATTTATATTGATTTGGAATTTTTTAACAAAAAATAATGATATTGAACATTTTATATTTCTTTTTTCAGCTTTGTGGAGTTATTATCAAAGATATATAGAAAACAATTATTTACCGGTTCGACATTTTAACATTCTCAATAATAAACTATTACATCGTTTTGAAAAAGGAATTAGAATTGGAATCAGTATAATAACAGGTAATAATTATTCTTTTTGTACAAACAATAAAAAAAAAAAACAAATCAAGCTTGTCACAAGTTAGGGAAAGTATAATTAGTTAGAGAATTTTATTAAAAGTATTTCCCTCCTTTTTTTTGCTGTTCTAACAATTCAATTTTTTCTAATAACAATAAATCTGTTGAGGTAACAAAAAAATTTGTAACCACAACAAATGAAATTTGTTAGTTCTATGTTAAAAATTCTTTTTTCTTTGTGTAGGTCGATTTAATTCTTACGTCCATGGAACTTCCGAAAAAACCTCGTTTACAGGATCAGTCCGCCAACAATTCTTATCATGAGAAGTTAAAAACAATTGGTCATGATTTCAAAGTGAAAAAGAAATTACCGGTAAATTTATTGTATTACTTTTATATATGAACAATTCCACGTGAAATTTCAGTGGATCTTTTAATTCGGTCAAATATATATATTTTTTCTTTTCTGTATTGAAAAAAAGAGATATGTATTTTTTTTTAAGACAAATTTTTGAGTTATGAATTTTCATAATTTTCGTTTTTAAATGTAAATCTATTTTTAATGTCAGTTAACTCAAAAAATATTGTTCCTTTTCATTTTTTGACAAGAATAAAAAAATTTTGTTTTTTTTCTCTACTTTTGAATAATAGTAACAAAAAAATTATTTTTCACTTTTTCATTAAAAAAATAAAATTTTTTTATAAACAAATTAAGTTTTTTTAACTTTGGGTATGTTAATTTTTTTTAAACATACTTGAAAATGATAAGAAAATTTTGCAAAAAATGGCAGAGTGGGCCTGACAAGTTTGATCAGTTTCAATAAATAATTAAGCTGACCGTGCAGGGTGCTTGCGCGCGGCACAGTGGAATTTTTTTTACAATTTACTGTTCAAAATACAAAAACTTTAATAATAAATATGGAAATTTTAATTTTTGTACCTAAATATTATTAACTATTTCAGCAATGCCGTCGTGAAGTCAACATAGAAAACATGACATTGCCAACCATGTTGAATTGTGAATGGGACAAGTGCTCCGAATTAATAAAAAATTATGAGAATTTTCTTCATCATGTGGGAATGCACCTTGAACAATATCCCCACATTAAAAATGTTGAAGGTGGCATAAAATGTAAGTGGTTGAATTGTGAAAAAAAATTTCAAAATATTTACAAATTGAAAGAACATTTAAGAAGCCACACTAAAGAGAAAACAGTTGCGTGTCCTGATTGTGGCTCAATGTTTTCCACTATGTCAAAATTTAAGGAACACTGCGAACGGCAAATTCCACCTGAAGGTAAGAAAAAAACTTATAATTTTAAGGGAGATTGGGGTATTGTGGTCCAAACTTTTTCTCAACTCAATATTTTACAAAAAAAATGTTCTGTTTAAATTTAAAAATTTGTTGTGCTAATAAGAGGTATAATGTAATATAGAAAATAGTTAGTTTTTCGAAAAACGTGTCCCACAATTACCAAAATGCTTCATTTAACAAACAGCTTTGTATTATTTATTCATTTAAGTTTGACACAAAATTTATTTTTAGAGTCAAATAACAATTGCCACACAATAATTAAAGGAAATGCATTTATCATTCGGTAATTAAATATTATAGGTGAAAGAAGTTATCAATTTTTCCGAATCAATCTCACAAATAAATCCCGTGAGCAAAAATAAATATAAAATATAAATAAATATAAAAAATAAATATAAAAAAATAAATATAAAATATAAATAAAGCACAAATAAATCTCTTAAATAATTAAGAGATTTATTTGTGAGATTGATTCGGAAAAATTGTTAACTTCTTTCACCTTTAATAATTAAAAAAATATTTTCCGTATGTAATTTTTTAAAATCCTTGTAAAAACGATAAAAATATGAACACCCAAAATTAATATTTAAATGTAATTTTTCAAGTGATTTTTGTTTACGACCTACAGGTAACTCTAAGGCATTGTAAAATCATGAAATACTTATGAAAAATTTACTTTGAACGAACAAAAGAAAATATTTAAAGAAAAATTGGATGATCAAACTTTTAAATATTATATTAAATAATAGAGGTGGCCCACAATTTCCCAATCTCCCCATGTATATGAAGTTATCCCCCCACTTTCAAAAAATTAACTTTTTTTAGAGTTCTGACTTCCTCCACAATATTTCTAGAGTTCCTGATAGTTTTTAGCAATAGTTCCGGTTATTAAATTAATAGTAAAAAACAGGTTTTTTCATAATGGGGGGCTAAGTTCACGCAGCTTCCCACTATTAAAAAAATGGAATAATAATTAAAAATCTGATTAGTTTAAAAAGAGTTCTAAAATTCTTTATAGTTTATTTAAATAGTTCTCATAATCCGAAATTAAAGACGATAATTTTTCGAAAATTTAATTATGTTACGTTATCAGAATTCTGATCAGATTTTTTTAACCGACCCCCCCATCAAGATAGATGAAAAACCGTAATAACACTTTTTTCCAAACACAAAAACTACTGAACCAAAGGACTTTGAAGTTTCAAAAAAATTGTTTTTTGATAAATTGAGAGTTCCATGAGTTCTGAACAGAGTTCTGTGAGCCCTTCATCGAGATTGCTAAATAAAGCCTAATAACAATTTCTTAAAAATCTATAAACTAGGTAATAAACTACAAAATCTTTGAAGTTTCAAAAAAAAATTTTTTTTTTATAATTAAAATTTTTTTTGGTTCTGACTAGAGTTCTGTGAGTCTTTCATCAAGTTCGATAAAAACCCCTAATAACAATTTTTTTTAATCATAAAAACTACCAAACCACAAGAGTTTGAAGTATCAAAAAAATTATTTTTTTATATATATTGATAATTCCATGAATTCAAACGAGAGTTCTGTAATCCCCAATTGCCCCCCAATTAGAGTTCTTTTAAAAGTGTTAACAAATTATTTTTCTAAATTTACGAGCTAATGAACTTCAAGCCTTCGAATTTTTTAAAAAAGATTAAATGAATATAATTGAAAGAATTTGGTTCTATTATGTTTTATCAGTTTCTTATTTACAACTGTATACTTCTTATATAAAATTTTTTTACTACTTTTTCAAAAAATTCAAAAAAAAAAAAATTCAACACTGGGTTACCCAGGCTGGGCGTTCAAGGCTCAATAAATCTTCAATCCATCGTCAGCATTGGTCTTTCGCGCCTGGGAGTTCTAATCCAATATTCTGAAAGAGAATAAAGATAATAAATAAATAAAGATAATAAATAAGATAATAAAGATAATAATAAGATAATAAGAATAAGATAATAATAATAATAATAATAATAATAATAATAATAATAATAATAATAATAATAATAATAATAATAATAATAATAAGAATAAGATAATAATAAGATAATAAATTCTAAAATTTTCTACCAATAAAAACAAGATGCCAGGGCTCTAATCAGAACTCTTAGAACTGAATTTTTAAATTTTCCCATTTTTTGCACTCTCTAAATCTGAATTAATAGTTTTCTACTAATGAAACAGTGCGGATTCGTTTACGAATTGAATTATTAACTGTTTTTACTAATTTTTAGAAAATTTACTAATTTGAAATAGTAAAAAATACGTTCTACTAATTGAATTAGTAATTTTCTACTAGCAATTAGTAAAAAACTACTAAAAATTAGTAAAAAATGTTACTAATTCAAATTGGTAAACGAATCCGCACTAATTCAGATTTAGAGAGCATATTTCAAAATTCTGTAACTTTTGTGGTTTTACGTTTAGAACAAAATGCGATTTGAATTACTTCTAGAACTCTTTGCAACGGTGCAAGAACTCTAATCAGATCTTCCAGAACTCTTCATTATTAATGATTGATAATTTAAAAAATTTCGAAGGTCTGTAAGTTTTTGGATTTAGATTTAAGAGCAAGATATCATTTGAACTACTTGTAGAACTGATAGCAACGATACAAGAAATCCATTCTGAATTCACAGAATTCCGATTATGACTCCTAAAACTCTTAATATAACAATAGAATTTTTTTTTTGAAATTTCAAAGTGTTATACTTTAGTTGCTTTCAGGTTTAGAAAAAATTGTTATTAGAGTTTTTTTTATCAATCTCGATGGGGGGCTCACAGAACTCTGTTCAGAATTTTGGTAATTTTAATTTTCGAAAAATTATCGTGTTTAAAATTTTTATTTTAAATTATCAGAACTTTAAATAAACTATAAGGAAACTCTAGAACCCTCTTTAAACTGCTCAGAACTCTAATTATTAATTCATTTTTTAAATAGTGGGAGGCTGCGTGAGGTTAATCCTCCATTATAAAAAACTGTTTTTACCGCATTTATAATCGCCGGAACTATTTCTAAGAACTCTATAGAAATATTGCGAAGGAAGTCAGAACTCTAAAAAAAAGTTATTTTTATTAAAGTGGGGGGCTAGCTTCACATACAAAATCTCCCCTAATAAAATAAAATATTGTTTCATTCTACAATTTTTAGGGTTCCGTACCCGGTAGTAACCCTATTAAAATGGTTACGGAAAATGACCATGTACCCCCCCTAGCGCTCACAGTTTTTCATCTAGAGAGCTAAAATTGGTACACGTATGTATTTTCACGCGTAGATTACACGAAAAATATCTTCATAGAGTTTTCCGCGAAAAACATCAAATTTTGGCCGATTTTCGCAAAATATAGGCATGTAACCCCCCCCCCCCTAGCGCTCAAAATTGGTACACTTTTGTATTCTCAAGTATAGATTTCAGGAAAAATACACCGAACATGATTGGATTTTATCTTCAAATTTTTTTCAGCGAAAAACTCAAAGTTTTTAATAATTTCGTCAAAAAAGCGTGTTTTTTACCCAAGCGCCCGCAGTTTTTTATCTGAAGAGATGAAAATTGGTTAATTATTTATTTTCACCTGTATATTACAGAAAAAATACAGCGAAAAATATTGGAGTTGATCTTTATATTTTTTTAGCAAAAAAGTAGAAGTTTTAAACGAGGGTACGGAACCCTTCTACTCGCACTTGTCCGGTTTTTAACATTATTTGTATTTATTTATTTATTTTGTTTTAGAGCTTACATTTCTGTGTTCAATGTGTAATAAATATTATGCGACAGAAACTATATTGAAGGATCATATGAAAAATCATATACATTCAATTAAATGTAATTTTTGCGAAATATCATGTACATCGTCATCAACATTGGCAACTCACATAAGATATAGACATTTAAATGAAAAACCTTTTAGATGCCAATCATGTGATTATAGTTGCAAAACAAAGCAGGACCTAAAGAGTCACATGTCGACTCACAGTAATGAATTAATGTTTCGTTGTAAAATTGAAGAATGTGATTTCGAATGTAAAAGTGATAACGTTTTAAATAGGTAAGATGAATAATATTTTAAAAATTTAAATCATATTAAGGGCATTCAGAAAAAATTCCCTCCAAATTAATTAAACTTGACTTAATTGAATCAGTCAAAAAAAGAAATTTTCATAACGCAATCATAAAAATGGCGTTATTTGTCCCTACGTAGGTGAACGTAAAGTGAGTGTTTTTAGTACGTAGTTACGAAAATACTGCGAATGACAGTTCAGTTCAAAAAAGAGCTTTGTTTGTGCTTGTTCGAGTATTTTTGTAACGCTCGAGTAGTTGCAATTCCGTCCAGAAGAGGCGTGATTATGTTTTCGTTCAGTTAACTACATTTACCGTGTCTTACAGCAGCAACACAGTATCTGTCAAATACTGAGAGTTTCTAACCTCCTTTTCGCGATCACTCGTGTGAAAAATTCTGTTTTTATTCTTTAATGAAATTATTTTTATTAATACGTCGAATTACACGACTAGGTTTCGGGGGGCTTCGCCCCCCGACGCGTCCGGTGGCTTGAGGTATTATAAAATGCGATTCTTTGAAATGTCAAAAATTCTTATTATTATTCTTTTAAGTTGGTATTTTTGTGGTCGGGGGGCTTCGCCCCCCGAACCCCCCCGCGCGACAAAACGTTTCAGTACGTTTGAATGTATATCGGTACACTAGTAGTATGTCACATATTATCTCGTTTTTGTCTTCAGGTGTTTGTAAATAAAAAAGTTCTGTGTTCCGAATCTTATGTATGCGTTTCTCAACATTCTTTTCAGTTATATATGTTTTTCAGTGTCAACGCCTTTTTATGATTTTGTTATGAAAAGTATCGTGCGCAACACGTGTGGCGGCATTTTGGAACTCGCGCTTCTTTTTCGTAACTCGTCTCCGGTGAGGGCGCCTTCGGCGCCCTCAACTACGACTCGTTACGAAAACTTAGCGCTCGTTCCAAAAAGGCCGCTAGTTCACACTTGTTACGCAATGTACTATTACTGAAACATCAGTTATTTTTAACTATTAATTGTCAGTAGAAATATTACTATTTGAAGTAGTGACTGACTTTATGCTTCTAAATCAGTTATTTTTAAATTATTCAAAATAATTTATCCTTTAAAGATGAAAAGAAATTTGCGAACCGACTATTTTCTCCCGAATGACCTTAAAAGTAATGTAATTAATTTTTTGTTTAACTACAATTTTTTTTTCTTTCACAGACATGTTGCAGAAGTACACAAAAACGAAAAAAAATGGTATTCTTGTCATGAATGTGAAGCAAAATTTTTAAATAAAAGTAAGCTTCTATCTCAGCATTTAATACAAGAACATAAAATTTCTATGAAAATTGGACACAAACGTTTCCAATTTAAAAAAGATGAGGATGGCTGCTATCGCCTTAATAATGATAAAGAAGTAGCGTCAACTTCTGATGAAGTTATTCATTTAAATAATACTTCAAAAAAAAATACACTTTAAAAGTTGGAGGAAATTCTAAAACTTCTTTTGAGGTAAAATAAATTATTTTTTAAATTAATTAAAGATATTAATTTACATTTTTTAATTTATTGTTTAAACATTGTTTAGATCCAGGAAGAGGAAGAGGATCAACAATTTGGAGGAAATTCTAAAGCTTCTTTTGAGGTAAAATAAATTATTTTTTAAATTAATTAAAGGTATTAATTTACATTTTTTAATTTATTGTTTAAACATTGTTTAGATCCAGGAAGAGGAAGAGGATCAACAATTTGGAGAAAATTCCAATCAAGTATTAAAATCAATGCCACTCATTTGAATATTAAAATATTCAAAAATCTTAATTTTTAATATTGTTAATTACCAATTCTGTAGAATTAATTTTTTCGAAAAAAATTAATTAATACTGAAATAATAAATCAATTAATTTAATAATTAATAAGAAAGTTTTTTGAGAATTTACCTACTTATATAAAGAAAAAAAATGATAGTATACATCTAAAATAGTTCTAAAATCTATTTCTGTATAATTCAATGTTACGAAATTTCAATAATTCACAAATTTTTCTATTTAAAATATATTAAAAAATACAACTAATTTCTAAAACTATTAAATTTAATTAATTTAAAGCAGGGCCTTGTAGACTGAATAAATAAATATAGGGTGAGCAGATTAAAAGTAAGTTAAGAAGTTAAAAACTTGCAATTTTTTTCTAATTTTACAACTAACTAAAGTGCACTTACCCTATGCCTGAAATTGTAATAAAATAATAAATCCGTATTTAATATAAAGAAGATTGAAAATGTTGATATTTGAAAAATTTATGTTTTTGAAAAAAAGTCATTAGGTAAAGAAAACTTCTTTAATGAGAAATTAAGGGTGAGGACTGATTATAATTTTCAAATTTTTTCAGAATTTAACTGTAGTAAAAAGTAGATTATACAGCCAGAGAAAATATATATTTGCTTGAAAGTCAAATGTGACGCGATCTGAAGAAAGGGACCTTAGAAGCAAGTCATTTTAAGGTTGGGTTAGAGTTACTTTTTTCTTATTTGAAAGTTTCTTTTTACTTATTTCGAATTAAAATCAGTGTTTATTAAATATTTTAGTTTTAATGAAGACTTAAACATCAATGATTTATATTGACAGTTGATCCTTTTTCTGTATTTTGATTTAAAAAATTGCAAACATAACCTATAATTTTTTGCTTCTAAGGTCCCTTTCTTCAGATCGCGTCACAAATTTACTATGAATTTATTTGAGTGTCAGTTCATAATAAATTAAAAATTTTTTAAATATTAACATTTTTAAGGCAAACAACATATGTATGGATTCGTAATAAAATAAGGAATCTGAATTCAATAAAAAAAACTGAAAAATGTTTATATTTGAGAAATTTATATTTTTTAATGAATGTCATTAAGGAAGGATGACTTAATAAGGGATTAAGGGACCGGGCGCCCCGCTGTGCTACGTTCGCTCCGAACTCCGAACTCAGGCCCCTGGCCGCATGGTGGGGGAATGCCACTTCCCCTCACGGGAGCGAATCGATGACTGCCCCTGCGATCACGTTCTCGTATGCTTAGAAGAGGATGAATTCCTCCTTGCTCTGAGTGGGTGACTCCCATAAGTCCTGTACAGCCACCCTCCGGGGACTACTTTATATCTTTCTGCATCAACGACTACCAACGGGGAGAAAGGAGCCAGTGACGCAGACACTTCCTTTACGCTCTGCTTGCTTCAAAACCTCCTCGACGACATTGTCGACTTCGTTGCCGCAGCATCATGTATCCTTTAAGTGCAACCTAAAACTAGCTTTTGTAGATTATTTACGACAAAAAAAAAAGAAGAAGTCGAGAATATATTTGAAATATTTAAATATCTCATTTAACCAACACGTTGCGATGAATCAGTTGTAAATTCTATATTCAGAATTCAGTTCTGTATTCACTATTCAGTTTTTAGTTCTTTAAGTATTTTCAGCTCTACTTTCAGGATTGTACATATTCAGGATTCGTTTCTGAAATGAGGGAGGAAAAAATTTCTGCAAAGCATCAAGAAAATTATAAATCGATACGAAAATAGAGAAGAGGAAATGAAACTAGTAGTAGGCGATGAGTCAGGCTGAAGTTTCATGGTTAGAACGATCAAAGTAGTCGACTCGGTTCGATTGTCATGCAAACGTGATGGAAAAAGTAAGATATAGAAAGAATATTTCTCTGACCTGTCCATCGTTTCTTTTGAAAATCGGGAGGGATACTTTTTGATTCGAAATCACTGCATATATATATATATATACGTATATATAACCGTATCCTTTTGCCCCTTTGTTCTCCCGTTCTATTTTCTGAATGGAAATCGTTGCACGGTCGTTGAAAGTCTATTGAAATCTGATTCGAGTCAACTGGGGTGGAGATTTTGAGAAATTTCAATTTCGACTACACTTTATGAGATTCTCATATTATTCCTTATTAGGGTCATCAAAATAGTACTTATATTTGATATTAAAATGTCTACTGATTTTTCTGTACTTAAATCAGAACTTTACTTTATCTTAGACGGACTGATAAAATCATTATTTTATATTATAACAATATTGTTACTGTAACTTATTCAAAATTAATATCATCATTTTAATTCAATTATTGTTTTTCAAAATTTTAAACTAAAATTCTTCTTTATAAAGTGTAAATTAATTATTATTAATTATTATTAATAATTTTTAAAACATTTCTTTCAACATTTTCAAATCCTTTTCTTTACAATTCAATTTTACGAAATTTCATCGATTATTCGGAAATTCTTCAATCAAATATTAGAAAATAAAAACTTCAAATAACTTCAAAAAAATTCAATTGACCTTTTTCAAAAAAATTAAATCTACACAACTTTCAATTAAAAGTATGAAAAATTCAAACATTCAAAGATCAAAATTCAATTATCTACAATTTTAACTGAAATTCATATTTGAATCAATTATAATTAGAAAATTCTACGACAATTTTATTATTTAAATACAAAAATAAGTAATTTATTGAATAATTGAATATTTCTAAAAATTCAATTCCCATAAAGAATCGTTATCAACAAATTTTCAAATAATTCAATTCTATCAACGAATTTTAATAAAATTTTTAAGAATAATTACATTTTTCGAGAAATTCGATTAAAAATTTAAAATTGAATTAAAAATAATTTAATTCTTACGAAGAATGTTATTATTTGTGAAAATAGTTGAATTCCTATAAGAAGAATTTTATTACTTTTGAACAATATTTAATTTTTACGAAGAATATTTAAGGACAATTGAAACTTTGACAAGAATTTAAAAAATTTTTGGAACATGTAATTAAATTTCTGCAAATATTTGTAACTTCTCACAAATTCAATTTTTTTGGGGGTTTTAAAATAAAATTTAAATTTGAATTATTAAAATTTTTCAAAAATCTAAGTTATCTTTAAAATTTCTGTTTAAATTCATTGAAATTAAAAATTTTATAAAATTTCAAATTGAAATATTTTGAAACCTATGAAAATAATTGAACTTCTTCGAATTATTTTTTTCATAAAAAATTTGTAAATAATTGAATTCCTGTAAAATTTTTATTATTTATGAAAATAATTAAATGTTTGCGTAGAATTTAATCAAAAAAATTAATAATTAATTCAATTATTTTAGAAAATTCTTGAAAATAATTGAAATTTTGCCAAGAATTTTATTAAAAGTAATGTAAATAATTGAATTTCGGTGAAGAATTTTATTATTAATAAAAATAATTAAAATTTTTACGAGAATTAAAAAAAAAAATTTTGAACATAATTGAATTTCAGTGAAGAATTTTTTTTTTTAAATAATGGAATTCTTGTGTTGAATATTGTTATTTATGAAAATAATTTTCCAAAAAAATTAATTCCACAGAATTGTTAGTTAAAAAAAAATGAAAAATTTAATAAAAGGTTTGCTTAGAATTTTATCAAAAAATTTTTTAAATAATTCATTTCTTTTGGAAAATTTTATTAAAATAGTAGATATTGAAAATCATTGAATGGAGGAGAATTTTTAAAAAAAAATTGAATTTGTTAAAATGAATTTCATTAAAATTTTTGAAAATAATTGAATTTTGGAGAAAAATTTTAATATTTATAAAGATAATTGAAATTTTGACGATAATTTTTTCAAACTTTTGACCATAATTAAATTTTTGCAAAGAATTTTATTACTTTTGAATATAATTGAATTCTTCAGACGAATTTTTTAATAATATTTCTTTTTAAATACCAAATTGAATTCTTTTGTGAAATTTTATTGAAATAGTAGATATTGAAAATAATTGAATTTTGATAAATTATAGAAATTAATGAAATTTCTACGAAGAATTTTATTAAAATTATTTTGAAAATAAATTGAATTGTTAAGAAGAATTTGATTAGAATTTTTGAAAATAATTGAATTCTTTGAAGAAATTGAATTAAAAATGTATTGACAATAATACTGAAATTCTAATAAATAAATTATAGAAAGGCTTTTTAAAATAATTTAATTTCTTTGATGAATTTTAATAAAATTTTGACGAATAATTACATGTTTCGAGAAATTCCATTAAAATTGTATTAAAAATAATTGAAATTCTGCGATGAGTTATATTATTTATGAAAAAAATTGTAAATCTATAAAGTTTTTTATTATTTATGAAAATAATTGAATCTGTGTAAAAAATATTTGATTATTTATGAAAATAATTGAATTATTGCGAAGAAAAATTGTGAAGGCAATTCTTTTAAAATTGAATTAAGAAAATAGAATTAAAGAAAAATTAGATTTGAAGAATAAGCACAATAACTTTAGAAAAGAATAATTTTGAATAATTTTCCAAGATTCCAACAAAATTCCCTGACTTTTCTAGGTTTTTTCAAGGTTTATAAAATTCCCTGACATTTCCAGGTTTTCCAGGTTTCCAGGTTGCGTGGCAACCCTGAAATTCCAGTTTTTTGTATTGGGTACCGAATCAATAAGACTAGAATTCGACCAGTCATTTGGGACTATATAAGAAAATCATTATTGCGAATTTACGAATACGAGTCGGTGGCGTGACTTCATCAAATCATATGAAAAAAAGTAAAAATATTCTGCAGAACATTTACGCTTCACAAACTAAATTTTTTCATCCATTGGTGAATAATTGAAGTTATTAATGATGGTCATTCGAACTTCCTCTCTTGATTTCGTGAAAGAATGGGGAATTTCGCAAATGAATGCTTCATTTTCAAAGAGTAGTCACACACATCGGTCAGAGGCAAAAGGAAGATGAATATAAAAATCAATTGCACGAAGTGTAATCGAAAGTTCATGGATCGAAAGACCCTTCCTTCTGTAGTCGGAGTTTTATGGACAATGTACACGAGGGTAAAAGCACCCGGCGACAATCTT